ATAACCATACGTGTAATATTATAATTTCATACATTTTTCCTAGAACTACAATACGATCAGAGCTGGTTTTCATTTATTGTTCCATTGTCCGAGAGTCGGACATCGTATAGTTCCATCCGATTAATGCCGCGTAGAACGGGGTGAATGCCAAAGTCCCTGAAACGTATAACACTTTAACCTAAATTCACTCCACCTTTAATACATATTTAAAAATATATTTGATAATTCTTAAATCATAACCGAAACACTTTACATAATAAATTACTAATTTATAATAACAATAAACATTAAATCTTTATTAAAAAAACCAGTGTAGCATCCGACTCACCTGAAACACCGTGAAAGCGCGTCCCCATGGATGCGCCTTACCCGCATGGCATCCCAATTAGCTAAAAACCAGGTAAAGCGCGTCCCCAGGGATGCACCTTTGTGCCACCTCAGCCGAAAGAGTGTTACTTCGGGAAATATTGGTCAAACGGTGTTAGTTCATACATATTAGGCTCAAACGAAGTTAGTTCAGGCAAATTAGACTCAAACGGTGTTAGTTATGTCAAATCGCCCTCAGCTTATACCGCAACATCATTCATGGAGTTTCATATCCTTTTCCCTTCTAGATTGGTTAAGCTCTAATCTTTCTCCCGTTTTAGGTTTCTCTGACAAAGACTTCCATTTGAGACATTTGTTCGGGATTATTATTTGGCGTTTCTGGAAGCAAATGAATAATTTTGTTTTCAAGGGCCAAATTTGGTTGTCCACGACTATAATTCACTCGGCCTGGTCGTGGGAAAAACGATTCACACGTCTCAAGCCAATGCCCATCAACAAGCTTCGCTCGTGTTCACGAACCAAGGTGGTGCCCGCCCAAGGCCGATTTTCTCAAACTCAACACAGATGTGACGGTCAACCATGCTACCTCAGAGGCCACAGGTGAAGGTTTCTTTCGGGATAACAGATGAGAGTGGGTTGTTGGCTACTGTCGATCCATAGGTCGTTACTCACCTCTCCATGTCGAACTTTGGACACTGTTCGATGGACTTGGTCTTGTATGGAGTCGTGGTTTCAACCGAATTGAAGTCGACATGGACAACAAGGTTGTTGTTGATATCCTTAACAACCCAAGTCTCTCCCACGAATCCGCCATTGTCCGTTGAGTCCGAGATCTCCTTGAACGCGACTGGTCTGTTAAGTTAATCATGTGAACCGCGACCGGAACCAATTGGCTGATGCTATCGCTCGCTATGGTCGGTCGAGTCCTACAGAGTCTTTCGTTCTGCCTCAGGCACCGCTCGGAATTCAAAGCATTCTCCTTGACGTGATGGCCAAGGAGCACATGATCCCATCAACTACTTGAGCAGTCTTTCCTTATTAATTTGTAACCAAAAAATAATTGATTTGAACTGAAAAAAATAAATTATTTGATATTTGACACGGTATAAAAATTGATTCGACCTAATATTAATCTGACATAATATCCATTGTATTTTGTCATAGATCGAATTAAATTTAAATCAGATATGATTTAACATGAATTAAAATAGTTTAGACTCAAAATAACTCGATATCGAAACAACTATAGATGAAAATTATAAATCAACCATGAAAGAAAAAGCAAGAAAAAAAACCCTAATAGGACAAACATCAAAAACTAAAAAAATGAGTAGTAAATCGATTGTTTTAGAAAACAATCTATATGAAAATTTATCGTTCTGATATTGATTTTAACCGAAAATAATTGATCTAATATTTGATATAACTTGAAAATTGACCCGACGTGATGTTAACATGACCTAATGTTTAAAATATCTCATTTAAAATTACTATAATTTCAATGATGGACCAGTACGAGATAATCACTTCTTCAAAATCTTTAAATTCTTATTTTATTTAAATATTTTTAACTAATATAATATATTTCATTTTTTAAAATTTTATAAATTTACCTTTTCAATATAATTTGTTCGTTACTCTCTAATTCCATTTAAATGCAATTTTATTCGTGTAAAAAATGGATCAGTAATTAACTATAGCTTATGAAATAACTACGAAATTAAATGATAAATTTTAATTTAATGTAAATAAATATAATAATAAAAGTATTAAATAAAGCATCATCGGCTCACCTAATTTTCATTTCGGCCCACTACCGACCGCTCTCACTTTTTTGTCGTAACGGATTATTAGTGGGCAACAACAGCCAGCAATCTACATTCACTATCATCACCCGATTTCACGTGCTTGGATAACACATGATTAAAAAATAATAATAAATTACATACATACTCACTAAATTTTATTTTCTCTTATTTCATTTATCATATTTTAAATTTTTTTAATTTATTCACTGAATTTTAGACATTAAATTTTTTAATCACTCTATCGTTAATCTTGTAACAGCGTTATGTCATGACAATTAACATCAAAACGACGTAGTTTTGGATCTTATAGAAAATCAAATTTATACCAAAACGACGTAGTTTTAATCTAAATAAAATATATTTTCTTCTTCATTTTCTCTTTCTTTCTTCTTCCTCCCATCCTCTTTTCATATCTCTTCAGCTTCAATGAACCTAGAATTCGACCACTACGCGAACCACCATTTCGACCTTCATAACGACAGTTTGCTTTACCATTTGCATAATACGGAATTATAACTTTTGCCTTCGTTTCTTAACCAAAATACCACCCATTGATTCTAATAAAACCATGAAACCCTCCATGCGATGGCGAATCTGACACTCCCCCTCTTTCAAAACATCACCGTCTCTCCCTCTCCTCTATGGATTGATTGCTTTTTTCTTTTTTTCGCAGGTGTGCAACCAATAGGTGTTGCTATTTTTTGAGTGGGTTTGCAAAATTGTTGGATTCTTGATTTAGTTTCTTATTTATGAGGAGAATCCATTGCGGCTTGCTATTTTTGGGGTTAATAATTTATTTAGGGTTAGTATCTATTGGGGTTTGGAATGTTTTTGGTTAAAGAAACATTAAATACGCATTTAAAATAGTGAGATATGTTCGGTAATTTTTTTTAGAATCATTGATCTCTGGAGACGATGGTCGGCAATGGTTAGGACGACGATCGGTATGGTGGCCGGAAAATGAGAGGAAGAAGAAAGAAGGAAAAACAAAAAATGAAAAGAAAAAATTAAAATTAATTTTTATTTATACCAAAACTATGTTGTTTTGGTATAAATTTAATTTTTTATAAGATCAAAAACTATGTCGCTTTGATGTTAACTGTCATGTCATAACCTCGTTAGAAAATTAACGACTGAGAAACAAAAAAATCAATGTCTAAAGTTTAGTGAATAAATTGAAAAAAATAAAGTACAATGAGTAAAATAGGAGAGTGAGTAAAATTCAGTGAGTAAGCATGTAATTTATCCTGAAAATTTAAAAATTTGTATTGATTTAAAATTAGGCTTAAATACAAAATAAGTGTCCAAACTCTATTGCTTTTTAAAAAATAGGTGCTTAAAGTATTTTTTTAAACTCATCCTAGTGCTTAAAACAAATTCTAGCTGGTGTTTCAGGCGCTTATTGAAACTTATGGCAGTCGCTGCTCCTGCTTTATCTACAAGATCTTCTAAGACAAAAGATTTATGGAGAGAGCTACGGGTAAAAGGAGATCAAGTCTCATGGCACAAATTGATATGGTTTCCTCTATACATTCTCAAACACATCATGATTACATGGATGATGCTTCTAGATAGACTCCCAACTAAAGAGAGGCTCCTTAGAATGGGAATTGTTACTGATGGATCATGTATAATATGCAAGGAGGCTACGGAGACTAGGGATCACCTGTTCAGTGACTATACTCTGCAATTTCCATATGGAATAATATTCTTAATCTCTCTGGTTTAGGCACTCCTCATTTACCATGGGCGAGCATGTTAGACTGGGCCTACAGTACTTGGAAAGGTAAGTCCCTTCTAACTAGTATCTTGAAACTTGCTTGGTGTGCTTTTATTTATTCCATGTGGGAGGAAAGAAATAGAAGATTATATTGATGAAGCACAAAAAGTGTGAAAGAAATTGTGAACTCTATTAAGGAGATTGTAGGTATTCAATTAAGAAGCAAGAATATAAATAGATTAGACAGTATGAACATTTACCTTTATAATCGTTGGGGAGTTTAACCATCGATTTTGTTGTAAGTAGGTTGTAATTTATCCCATTTATGAGATATTTTTTGTAGCAGAACTCTGCATCTTAGGTAATAAAAATTAAATTTATCCAAAAAAAAGTTACAAACATTACCATTTTAAGTGTCCGAGCCGTCAGCGGTTTTAATTTTTCCATTAAACGACAAGTGTCATAATCTGATAATTTTCAAAATTTTATTTAAAATTTTAAAAAATAAAAATTATATATTTTAAAAAATAAATTTTTTAAATAATGTCAAAACTTTGAAATCATTTATTTCAACCTTTAAACTCATGTCAGTCGTCGTCTTTTGCCGTTGATAAATTCTACCTGACCTAATGACCCCGGCGATTAAAATTCCTATAAAATCGTGATTGATCGATCAATCTTTTATACACCGCAAACCTAAGAATAAAAATTGCGATTTCATACAATTTTGATGTTCAATCGATGGTAATTACGATAACATTAAGAGGTTGACGATAACTATATCGACATCAATGATCATGATTGATAAGGGCGACCACTGCGAGTTAAAATTAAGAAATTTAGGAATTTTGATTATTTAAAGAAATTAATGTTTTTTTATACATACAAATTGCAGTCCCTAAAATCCTCTAACACAGCTCAGCGCTGGTCTACGGACTTCACCCTCCGATCCTAATCCAACGGATGCGCTTAATTCATGCCGGCCGGTTCCACTTTTGTTCAGCTTCGCCGCGTTTCAAAATAACCCGAACACGTGGCACCACCGTAATTTCAATCCACTTCAAGGCGTTACACCTCGCAAAATGAAAACCCGCGTGCTACGTTTCCCATTCACGAGATTCATTAACCTCTCTATAAATACACCACTCCAATTTCATATCCGAAACCCCCAAAATCAACGCAATGCAGCAAAATTCACGTTCCTTGATTTTCTTCCTTTCCCTCGTCTTCTTCCCTCTCATATTCTCCGACGCCAGAAAGGCGAACTTCACCGGAGGATGGTCGCCGATCCAGAACATCACGGATCCGCACGTGTCTGAGATCGCGGAGTTCGCCGTCGGCCAGTATAACAATGAATCAAAGGCGAGTTTGAAGTTGGAGAAGGTGCTCAAAGGAGAGACTCAGGTCGTTTCCGGGACGAACTACCGCCTGGTTCTGAAGGCCAAGGATGGAGCGGCGGAGAAGACGTACGAGGCCGTCGTGTGGGAGAAACCATGGCAGAATTACAAGAATCTTACCTCCTTTGATCTTGTCAAGGGTTAGAGTTGACGTATAATATATATGATATGTGTTTATGTATGTCATTATGTTGGTTTATGTCCAACCCCGACGTTTACTTAACTAAGTGGGGAATAAAATTTTAAGTAATCTATGTTTATGTGTTTTGCGATGTTTCTGGTTCCCAGATTTCAGATTAAGCATTTGATTTTGCTGTTTTTCTTTTCATTTTCTAATTTGGGGTGACAATTAGGATGTTAAACGGTTATAATTTTGTGAATTCTGTACAGTACCCGCTCTAATTGAAGTGGAGATGGGTATAATTTTAGTGGGGAGCAGATGGATGTGGATTTAGAAAGTGGTACCCATTACGGGTAGTGGGCGAGTGATAGATTTGAAACCTTACCCGCCTCGCATCTATCCGCCCACTAAATACCTATTAAATTTTGGACCATTATGAAGACCAATTTATAAATCTTAATATTGTATAAGATATAACTTATTATCATTAGTTTATTTTATTATGTTTCTTAATGGACGTGTTTGTTTTATGTTTATTGTTTATATATAATTTAAGGTTACTCTCAGGCGGGTCTAACTGGGTACGTCTCTAGTTGGGTAGTAAGTGTGGGGATGTATTTGAGAATGTACCCGCGTGGGCGGGTATAAATTTGAAAAATTTTACCTATCATGAGTGGTGGACGGATGGTGAATTTGAAAATATTAGGTGGGTATAAGAATATAGGAGGAGATATCCGCATCCGACCCGCCGTTTGTCATCCCTAGTGACAATTGGGCGAGTTTTTCCATCCGACACCGTACAAATAAAGTGAAATTCTGAAATTTGACTATAATCTAATATAATTTAACTATAATCTAATATAATTTAACCCAATTTTAAAATAATTTTATAATAGAATAGAAAGATAGTTAAATAAGATATTGATTTATTCAATTTAATTAAAATCAATTGAATTTTAATTTAATAACATAATTTTAATTTGTTTGAAATTCTCTAAAATTGTTTGTGTTAAAATTTTCAATTTCATGCAATAAGTTTCAATCATTTTTTTAATTTCCAATTCATCCCTTCTTAGTTATTTCATTAGTTCGATTGACTCAACATAGAGATACCTTAGGATGAGAAAGAACGGATAACATATTATTCACGGTGAGAACGACCTACCAAGCAATAACTGATAACTCTTCTGATCAAAACCAGGAGATATGAGGGATTCTCAATAAGCACCAAAGTTTACCGAGGATAAAAGTATTCCCATGGATAGTTTGCAATGGTATACTTCTCACCAACACCGAACGAGCTAGAAGACATGACCAACGACAGTAGCTGCTTAACATGTGGCAACTCGTGGAAGACATAGACTGAATATTTCGTGGATGTCCATTAACCATTATCATTTGGGGACGGTTGATCAAAACTAACAATCTGGAGGAGTTTTTGAGTAACGAAGTGCAACTGTGGATCAAAGATAATCTGAGCAACAAGTACAAAGTTGAAAGTGAAGAGAATGATTGGCCTACTCTCTTTAGCGTGCTGCTTTGGACCTTGTGGGAGAGGAGGAACACAAGAATATTCGACCCAGAATTTATAGAACACGAGGCCATCCTGGAAAGAGCTAAAAAATAGCAAATGAAATCAACAATTGCAAAAACCCTATGAAGTGCAAAGAAAATTAGAATCTACAGAATAATGAGGAAAAATGACAATCAGCTGAGGTACTCTGGGTTAAAGTGAACACGGACAGAGCAAGGAATAAAGGCACGGGCGAATCAACGTGTGGGGGAGTTATATCATATGGGAAAATGGCTAAGAGGCTTTGCCAAAAAGATAGGATGTTGCTCAACTCTTGAAGCTGAATTGTGGGGAGTCTATGAAGGGCTCCAGTTAGCATGAAACATAAGCACGAGGATGGTTCAAGTAGAAGTTGACAGCACAAAAGCTAGAAAGTTGATATATGATAAAAACCCGTACAAGGAAGAAGGTAATCATACAACACATTGATGAATACATTGATAGAGATTGGACTATGGAGATCAAAAACGTAAAGAGGTACAACAATTCTGTAGTAGACGAGCTTGAAAAGTATGCTCAGTCACTTCCTCAAAGAATGCATAAACTTTTAGAACCACCTGAAGTTGTGAGATTAATCGTGTGTAAGAAAGAAGTAACCTAGGCACTGTTTGCCTTTCCCTTGTAAACAAAAAGAGTATTCCATTTATTTAGGATCCATGTTTCCCGAATCTTTTTCTTTATTTTTACCATTTTTTCACTAATTTTGCCTTCAGTTTGCAGGAGAGTATAACTGAGCTGGATAAAATAGTAAGGAAACGACCGAACAGTTCAGTAATCCATGTTAAAGGGAAATCCGACGCCGCGGGATAAATAGAAAGCAATTGAAACAATCAAATCGCAGGAAATTTATGAAAATAAGCCAAATCGACCTATACTCACACCAATTGTTAAAAGATATTTCAAAACAACTGGAAGACAAAGATTAGTGAAATTTTGTGGAATTTTTTTTGGTGTGAAACGATAGGAATTTGTGTGAGTAAGCCGAGAGGTGCGACGAGCAGTGCCTCCGTCGCACAGAGGCTCAGGCAACCGGCAGCACAACGTGATCGTGGTACCACTTCTACTTCTACATCGAACCACTCCGACAATTCACCGTCTATCAGGATGAAGGGACTTTTCAAATCCAAGCCGCGAACTCCAGCCGATATCGTGCGGCAAACGCGTGGTCTCCTCGGCTACGCATCCCGCTCCACCGATGGCCGTGATTCCAAGCGGGAAGAGAAGGTTCGTCACTGAAATATACCTTAACCTTTGATCTGGATTCGTCGGCATGTGATTTAGTTGCAATTGGAATTAAAATATGTTTGAATTTTGTTGTGCCTGAGGAGTTGTTTGATTTAAACGAAATCCGCGCGTTTTGATCTTTGTTCTTTTTATGCAGATGGCAGAATTATTTAAAAATTTAAGGGAGTTGAAATCCATTCTCTATGGAAATAGTGAATCTGAGCCAGTCTCTGAAGCTTGTGCACAACTGACTGAAGAGTTCTTCAGTGAGAACACGCTGCGGCTCTTGATCACTTGTCTTCCTAAGTTGAACTTGGAGGTAAATGGCTTGACTTACTAGAGAATGTTTAGATGTGGAATTTTCCTTTGCAAAAGTTGTTGTTGCAGCACCTATAAGTGTATCCTGTTGTTGCTTGTATAATAATTTGACAAGTGGGTTCCTTTGCAGGCGAGGAAAGATGCCACTCAAGTTGTTGCCAATTTGCAAAGGCAACAAGTGCATTCGCAGTTGATTGCTTCTGATTACTTGGAGGCGAACTTAGATCTTTTGGATATTTTTTTAGCAGGGTAAGTGGTAAAAGGTTTATCACTTTCTTATGAATAGGTTGGTCTTCAATTTGAATTTATTTGTTTCTTGGATTTTTGTATCTGTGTTATCTAGTTTGGAGTTTGGATGACTTAATGCTAGATCTAAGATGATAAGTTACTGTTAGTTTTCAGTTTTTTGTTTTATTCTTTCTAGAGATTGTGGAAGCACTTCTTTTACTGGTTTCTTCTTATTGATCGACTCACACGTGTGCTAAGCATTTGCCTTGTTTACAATGGAGCTATAATCCTAATTTATGGATGATATCTGGTTTATGCAACTCTTTGGTTAGATTGTCAAATTGTGGTTTATGTCGTATCCATAATTTCATCACCAGGTTCTGATTCTTAAATGTTGTTTATTCAGTTATGAGAACACAGACATGGCTTTACATTATGGTGCAATGTTGAGAGAATGCATAAGGCATCAAATTGTTGCAAGGTGAGCATATTCAACCTAGTTAATTTATTCCTTTATAACTTGGTTTCTCTTCCTTTAAGTGAATTTAAATGAATATCCGATTCTTTTTCTAATTCTTCTTTCTAATCAGCTATTTTCCCATCACTGTTGCACTCAAGACAATCTTCTCCAATATTTACCTTTAAGATATTTTCTTTTATAATAGAAAGAGAACCTTATCTCCTAAAATTTGCAATAAAAAGTTTCAAATTAATTGAAGATTTTCAGATATGTTAACATGTTTTGTTTGGTACAGGTATGTTTTGGAGTCAGAGCACATGAAGAAGTTTTTTGACTATATACAACTTCCAAATTTTGACATTGCTGCTGATTCTGCTGCAACTTTTAAGGTCATGTATTGCTAGTCTAACTCCAATGATTTTGTTTTTTTCCCATTTTCTGCCTGGCTCTTACTATTGCACTTTTGACCCTGCATTTGTTATTGAAATCTAATTTAAGAAACACCTGTTGTTTTGTTTGTTGTAATTTTTTAAGTAGAGCTTGTTTGCCTTTCTATTTTATTTTTGATGAAACGAAGATGCTTTTTGATTTCAATACATCAATCAAGGTTTTTGTTTGATGTTGAGTCATCCTCTATGAACTTCCTCATCATCCTTCCTTTTTTTCTTTAAGGGTTTTGTATTGTGCATCTGACTTTTGATGCCATGCCATATCATGTTTTCTTATAGGAGCTCTTGACAATGCATAAATCCACTGTAGCTGAATTTCTTTCCAAGAACTATGACTGGGTAAGTATTGCTCCTCAATTACTTTCATCTATTAAACTGTGGTCTTTTGATGTTAAATATGAGCAGGGTACTTAGAAAATCTCATCTGTTCATAATACATTTTTCGCTCTCCATTATTTCCAGCTTCAAAAGTGCTTCCATTAGAATCACTTTATTTGCTCTTTCATATTTGACTAGATATTTTCTTCACATGGTTATACATTTTAATGATGCTAGAATTAACTACGTTAAGATTCTGTTGAGTTATTCTTCACAGTGCTTTTTCTTCTCCATGCTGGTGGTGGTGGTGTTGAAAATTTTTACTGGTTAGAGACTTAGAGCTCAATGAAATTAAATGCTTTTCTTATTTTAGTTTTTTGCAGAATATAACTCAAAGTTGCTGGAATCTAGCAACTACATTACGAGACGACAAGCTATCAAGGTACGACCCTTACAAAGAAAAGGCAACTATTTTAGCATTTCTTTTTCAATCAAAACAAAAGCTTGCTTGAATTCACGTCAGTATTTGTTATGGGTTCATTTTCTAATTTTAAACTGAAAATAGGATGTTTGAGGAGTGGAAAGATTCTCTTACCTGCCTGGGGTCTGAAACATCTATAGTTAGTCAATTGATGGGTGTCAAAATCTGTTGCTTACTATTTGACAACTCAATGCAATTGAATTTCTGAAATAACCATCCAGCTCAGTTGGTAGAGCACAAGATTCTTAACCTTGAGGTCGTGGGATCGAGTCTTATGGATGGCATTTCATAATTTGGAGGTCTTCTACGGAAATTGCTCCTAACCTAATGTTGGGAGCAGCCTACTATCTTACCTCCCCTTACCCCCATTACCCCCATTGCATATGGGAACAAGGGACAGTCATTTTAATGCAATTGAATTTCTGCTTTTAAACTGTCAGAATCTTAGTAGTATGGAGATCATGTTATTTTTGTGTCGGTAGCAATTGCAGTTTCACTTTACGTTGCTAGGGAGACCTTTTCTATTATTTTTAATGTTTTCTCTTCTTAATGTTATAGTTGCTGGGAGATATTCTGTTGGACCGCTCAAATTCAGCTGTCATGACGAAATATGTGAGCTCAAGGGATAACTTAAGGATTCTTATGAATCTTCTAAGGGTACTTCATTTCCTCCAATTTCTTGCTTTCATGTTTTGTCTATCCGACATCGTGTTTATCATGGTTTAATGTTATTTTATGCTGGTAATAAACTCCATCTTAAATGTAGATATGAATATGATAATCTCTGTAGATGCAATTACTTGAGATTTTCTATACTCAAACGTTAAAGACCAACTATTACGTTTCTAAATTTGGTGTTATCATATGGAGCAAACTTCAAGCACTAACTGATAGATCCCTTTAATTGCAGGAATCAAGCTGTCATAACGTTTTCCGTGTGGATCCGTTAGACTTTAAAAAAATTTAGTTTTGGGAAAAAATGATGAAATTCGATTTTGAAAATAATTTGATTTTGGAGTCGCCACCAACCTTTAAGTTAGGTAGATTGGAAACCTTAAACGACAAAAATGGTCTGCGTTTTACCAAATATTCATTTTTAAAAGTTCGGGAGTCGGTTACGTATGGGGAAGGGTGAACACCTCCACAACGCCCAAATTTTAGTACCTAAATGATTATATGTTGTTTAAATATTGGGAATTACAAACTTCGAAAATATATTTAAATCATGATCATTTTATTTATTCTAATTTATTTAAATAAATGTCAATTTCAAAAACGACTTAAATAAGAAATACGGTTGATCAAAAGATTAAATAGCTCAGAATATATTTTATAGAATAAAAATATCATAATTATTTTCATAAGAGAAAATGTGTCATTTTGTACGAACAATCCTTGAAAATGCGCGTCCTTTATAGTTAGGATACTTTTTCATAGATTCCCCTCACAAAAGACCTTATTTCATAATTTTTTAAAAATAAAATATAAGTTAAGATATTTAAAAGTAAATACAGAAAAATTTAAAAAAATTGGAAAATGACTGAAATAAAATATTAAAAAAAATAAAGTACTTAAAAATTTACGAATGATGAAAAATAAATAAAGGAAATAAATCGCATTATATTTAAATGTTAGAGTGTTAATAAGTTAGTGACAAAAATAAAATAAAAAAGAAAGTAAAATGCCCAAAATCAGAAATAAATAAAAAAAGAAAATATAGCATATTTAGTGATCAAACTAAAAATAACAAAACTAAAGTGCCAAAAATTAAATAAATAAAATAAAGAGATACGGGGACTAAAATGTGAGACACGGCAATGTATTAAGGATTTAACGTAATTTTACACAAGTACTTTAGTTACCAGTTTATAAAAACGCTTAAAAGTACAGGAGCCTAAGCGTGATTTTACGCACAAATTTGAAAACATGGCATACATTTAAAGGGTCTCTACGTGATTTGTCCATATTTTCTCCTATATATATATTACTTTTATCTAATGATTGGTAAAAACCTAACCATCTTTTTTCTTCCTCTCTTCTTCCTCTCTACCTCTCTCGCAGACTCCCTCTTCAACCTTTTTCTTATTCTTTTTTTTTATTTTTTAGAAAGCCATGAAATTTATGTAAACAAGCAGAATCAAACCATAAACTACATTAGATTTTCTAATTACATCTCAAGAATTTAACAAGATAAACCAAAAATAAGAAAGAAAAAAAAACGAAAATACCTCTTTAATTTCCTTTGAAGATTTCAGTTCTATTTACTGTGTTTTATCGCTAAAAAAATCCGTCCCTTTTACATAAAATTCGATTGGGTTTTATACCCATTACAAAATCATATAATAATAATTTCCTGATGGTGGAGTGATGGGTGAAGCATGGGCAGCAACATGAGTGAGGTATGGGCTGGCATTTGGTGGTGTGCAGTCACATGTGCTGGTGCTGGTAAGTGGAGCATGTGCTGCTGCTGGAGCATGTGCTGGTGCTGGTGGACAGAAAATGGTGTTCACAGCTACCCCTCTTTGCTCGTTGATGTGAAACAGGAATGAAGCAAAGATTTGAAGCACCATTTTTTGCCTGAACCACTTAAATTCTCTAGCCCTCCGTTCTTTTCTTTTTTGAAATTCTTGTTTTTCTTCGGACAAGTTCTTCTCTCTCTTTGACCAGCCCTATTTTCTTCGAATAATCGTTGTTTGTTGATGAAGTTCTTTTGGAGGTAATTTGTTGCTGAAGACGACAATGCTCATCCGCGATGAAGAGTTCTGATCGTTTTTAGGTAAATTTGGAGGTAACATGATTCCTTCGTGATGAGGAAGTCTGGCTATCTAAGGGTCAATTTGGGGGACAATACGGTTCCTTCGTGATGAGGAAGTCTGATTGTCTGAGGATGACACTGCTCCTTCGTGTTGAGGAGATCATGTCAATTTGATGTTGAAGACGACACTGCTCATCCGTGTTGAAGAGATCGGGTCGTTTTCGATAAATTATGACATTGTTCCTTCGTGTTGAGGAAATCAGGTCAATTTGGGGATAATACGGTTCCTTCGTGATGAGGAAGTCTGATTGTCTGAGGATGACACTGTTCCTTCGTGTTGAGGAGATCAGTTCAATTTGATATTGAAGACGACACTGCTCATCCGTGTTGAAGAGATCAGGTCATTTTCGATAAATTGTGACATTGTTCCTTCGCGTTGAGGAAATCGGATCAATTTGGGGATAATACGGTTCCTTCGTGATGAGGAAGTCTGATTATCTGAGGATGACACTGCTCCTTCGTGTTGAGGAGATCGGATCAATTTGATGTTGAAGACGTCACTGCTCATCCGTGTTGAAGAGATCGGGTCATTTTCGATAAATTATGACACTTTTCCTTCGCGTTGAGGAAATCGGGTCAATCTGGAGATGATTTCATTCAAAAAATATCATGTGACATGCATGTCATATGCGGTGTGTCCTAAAGATGATCTAATGTGAATGTAATGCATGAATGTTCAATTATTTGATGCATCAAATTTCGAAGTGTGGAATTTTATCGGCTTTTAGTGGTCTACACTTGATTAAAACCGTCAGGGTTTTTCTACTGCCATTGTCTGGGATTCCAAATGCGACTGCATTACTAACCCCCTTAATTGACGAAAGGTCAAATTGAATGGGTAAGGTTACATCTGGTACAAGCTCTGATTTATGATCTCTTTTGATTTTTCTTGGAATAGTGGAACCCAAATGCGATGCTCTCTTTTACTTGCGTAAACTGCTGATTAAAGTTATCCTGCTTACGTAGGCTTCCCGTTGGACACATGTTTTGAAATTCCCGTTCCCTCGCACTTTACTCTGAGTAATGCATAATAATCCTTCTTTTTTATACAATACCATTATTAATCAAAATTTTATATGTATGATGCTTACACAAAGAAAACAACAAAAATCATCCAATTGATTAAAGAGTGGCAAAAAAAAGGTACAATTTTTGGACGATTTTTTTTAACGAAAGAAAGGCAAACATTTCAAAAGGAACAGAGATTAGGTACACCCGATATCAAGTGCGCGAGTCTTTCTATCATTTTGTCTCAAGTCTCTCCTGAGAGTTGACATGTGTTTAGAGGATTCAGATCGTACTAAAAGATGTCTGAGTATGAGAACGTCTCCCCTAACTGTCAATATTATGAGCCTAACCCTAAATATTCGAGCCATCTCTTATAGATTTTTAACTCGAATCCCTCATTTGGCTTTAAGACATACATCTTGGGTTTTTGTCTTGATTCCATGTTCCCTTTTCTTTGTTTCAGGTGTAGTATCTCTTGACTGAATCAGAATTTACGGGATTAGACAACTCATCTCCATCCATTTCAGTCAAAATCAAAGCTCCTCCCGAAAATGTCTTATTTACGATATAGGGGCCTTCCCAATTTGGCATCCACTTTCCCTCGAAAGTCTTTTTGCATGGGTAAGATTTTTTTCAGGACCAAATCTCCTTCATAAAATTCTCGAGGTCGAACTTTCTTGTCATGAGCTCGTATCATCCTCTTCTGATACATTTGGCCATGACAAATAGCTCTCAATCTTTTCTCCTCGATTAAATTCAACTGATCAAATCTGTTCTGAACCCACTCAGCCTCTCCTAACTTGAGCTCCATCATTACTCTCAGAGAAGGGATTTCTACTTCCACTGGCAAAACTGCCTCCATCCCATAGACAAGTGAGAATGGTATTGCCCCCGTTGATGTTCGGACTGATGTACGGTAAGCGAGTAAGGCGAAAGGTAGTTTTTCATGCCAGTCCCTATATGTTTCGGTCGTTCAGGTGATAATCTTTTTGATGTTTTTGTTTGCTGCTTCTACTGCACCATTCATTTTTGGGCGATAAGGAGCTGAATTATGATGTTTGATCTTAAATTTCACACATATTTCCTTCATCAGGTCGTTGTTCAGATTCAGAGCATTATCTGTGATGATTCTTTCTGGGGTTCCATATCTACAAATAATTTCCTTTCTTAGGAATCTGCACACTACTCCTTTCGTGATACTGGCATATGAGACAGCTTCAACCCACTTGGTGAAATAGTCAATAGCTACTAGGATGAAACGATGCCCGTTTGAAGCCTTTGGTGAGATTGCCCCAATAACATCTACGCCCCACATTGAAAATGGCCACGGTGCGGTCATTACATGAAGTTGTGAAGGAGGAACGTGTATTTTATCACCATGAATTTGACATTTATGGCATTTGCGTGCAAAGCTGATGCAATCCCCCTCCATTGTTGACCAGTAATAACCAAACCTCATAATTTGTTTGGCCATTGTGAAACCATTTGCATGTGTCCCACAAATTCCTTCGTGGACTTCTTCAAGTATCTTATTGGCTTCAACTTTGTCTACACATCTTAGCAGTATCTGATCTTTTCCTTTTTTATACAAAACATCTCCATCAAGGACATACCCCATAGTCAATCTTCTTAGGGTTCGTTTGTCGTTTTCAGTAGCTTCAGCAGGATAAGTTCGATATTTCACATATTGAAGAATATCATAGTACCAAAGGAAACCATCCTCCTCATCCTCTTCTTCAATATTACAACAGTGAGCCGGTATTTCTCTTATACTCATTCGAATGGGCATCATGCGAGCTTGGTCATTGACTTTGAACATTGACGCTAGTGTGGCTAAAGCATCCGCCATCTGGTTTTCTTATCTCGGGAGATAACTAAAAGTAATCTCCTCAAATCTTTTTATCAGATCCATGACTAGATTCTTGTACTCTACCAATTTGGAATCTCTAGTCATCTATTCTCCACGAAGTTGATAGATAACTAAGGCTGAATCTCTGAATACTTCTAGGATTTTGATTTTACGTTCAATTGCAGCTCGGATCCCCATGATACAAGCTTCATACTCAACCATGTTGTTTTTACATTCAAAAGTGAGACGATTGGTGAAAGGATAGTGATTTCCTTCGGGTGACACCAATACTGCCCCAATTCCATACCCAACAGCATTTGATGCACCATCGAAATTCATCTTCCATATTTCATCTTTTGGAGCTTCCTCTTCTTCTATTGTATATATGGTCATTAAGTCCTCGTTTGGGAATTCAAATTTTACTGGTTCATAGTCTTCTAGTGACCTATTTGCCAAAAAATCTGTAATGACACTACCTTTCACAGCTTTCTGGCTCACATATACCAGGTCGAATTCTGCTAATAACATTTGCCATCTCGCCATCCTCCCATTCAAGATTGTTGATTTCATCATGTACTTCAAAGGATCCAATCTTGATATTAACCGCGTGGTGTGGTACAATAAATATTGCCTTAGTCTTTTCGTAGTCCAAACCAGGGCACAACACAGCTTCTCGATGTGAGAATATCGGGTCTCGCAGTCAGTGAACTTTTTACTTAAATAGTAAATGGCTCGTTCTTTCTTTCCTTGTTCATCATGCTGTGCTAGAACACACCCCATTGAATTTCCAAAAATGGTCAAGTACATAAATAATGGTCTATCAGGAATGGGCGGAACTAGGACCGGAGCATTGGATAAATAATGTTTGATTTTGTCAAAACCTTCCTGGAATTTATCGTCCCAGGTTCCTGGATTCTTTTTTTTCAACAAACGAAATATTGGATCACATTTCTCCGTTAACTGAGATATGAACCTGGCGATATAATTTAACCTCCCTAAGAATCCCCGTACCTCCTTTGGTGTTTTAGGGGGCGGTAATTCTAGGATTGCCTTGACTTTATCGGGATCTATTTTTATCCCTTTCTCACTGACCACGAACCCGAGCAACTTCCCTGAAGTGGACCCAAAGGTGCACTTGGATGGATTAAGTTTTAACTAATATTTCCTTAATCTCAGGAACAACTTCTTGAGGACTTGAACATGTTCTTCTTTAGTTTGTGATTTGGTAATCATATCATCCACATAGACTTCTATCTCTTTGTGCATCATATCGTGGAACAAAGTAACCATAGCTCGTTGATAGGTTGCCCCTGCGTTCTTTAGCCCCATATGGTCACAAACGTGGTTTTTTCCATATCGTCCTGATTCATTTTGATTTGGTTATATCCTGAGAAGCCATCCATAAATGAGAAGAAAACGTGACCTGCGGTATTATCGATCAATGTGTCGATGTGAGGGAACGGGAAATTATCTTTGGGACTTGCACGATTAAGATCTCGGTAGTCAACACACATTCGGACCTTTCCATCCTTCTTTGGAATCGGTACAATATTTGCTACCCACTCAGAGTATTTGGACACTTGTAAGAATCCAGCATCAAATTGTTTCTTCACCTCATCTTTTATTTTTAGCAACATATTTGGTCTCATTCTCCGAAGCTTTTGTTGAACTGGCTTGCATTCTGGTTTTATTGGAAGCCTGTGTATCATAATGTCATTATCCAAACTTGACATGTCTTGATAAGACCATGCAAACACATCTTTGAATTCATGCAAGAGATGTATAAGATCCGATCTTGTTTCTGCTGAGAATGAAGTACCAATCTTGACCTCCTTCTTATCATCCTCAGTCCCCAAATTTATTGTC